GTGGGGGAAACCGGGAAGCTTTCAGATTCGGATTTTCCCAGATGTGCCAACATGGCTCTCTTCGTAAATTGGGACTTTGAGGAATCCTTTGTCTTGGGCTCTGATTTACTTTCGGATGCTATTTGGGACCCTGACTCTTGCAGCTGAAGGTCTGGGGGATTCTGGGAATGGCTGAAACTTCAACTTTCTTTTTTTGGGGGTGGGGGGGGAAACCTGTAACCTTTCAGATTTGGGTTAATGTCAGGGTTCCAAGTAACACCCCCAACGAAAGCAGACTCCGAGGCTTGAAGTTCCTCAGAGTTGCAATTTATTAGAGATGCCATCTTTTATTGTTGTGTGTATGTGTTGTTTATGTAATAAAAATTAAAAATTAAAAAAAAAAAGAGATGCCATCTTGGCACATCTGGGAAAACCCAAATCTGAAAGCTTCCCGGTTCCCCCCACCCAAATGAAAGTCCAAGTCCCTTCCCCTGCACCCAGGTGTCCGTCCCGTGGTCCGATCAGGCTATCTCCAAAACAGGAGATGCCTCCCAGTCACCCCATCACAGCTGCAGGGCCAGGTGACCTTGACTTCCTGAGAAAGAATGTTATTATGGCTACATATCACCCATGCTCTGCGTAATCCCCCCCCCCCTACTTCCCCACAGTAGAAAATGTGCCAGGCCTGAAGTCCCAAAAGTCAGAGACGGCTTCCAGGTCTGACAGGCTGGGGGATTCTGGGATCGTGGGAGTAGAAGTCAGCAGAGCCTCCAGCCACCAAAGTTAAGAAACTTTGAGGTTACTTGAAATCCCTACAGCAAGTTTGAAGAAGGTGGAATTCTAACAGGATGGAGCCCCCAAGCAGCGGTTTAATTGCGTTATTATCCGTTGCAGCTTCTAGGGTTGGGCTAGTTGAATGCAACGAAAGGAAAGAGGAATATTTAGGGAAAGAAAGGGGAGGGAGGGTGGGAAGGAAGGAAGGAAGGAAAAAGAAAGAGAAGGAAGAAGTAAAAGGGAAGAGAAGAGGAAAAGGAGGAAGGAAAAAGGAAAGAAGAAAAAGGAAAGAAATAGAAAGAAAATGGAAATAGAAAAAAAGGGTGAAAGGAAAGTGAAAAAGAATGAGAGAAGGAAGGAAGGAAGGAAAAAGAAAGAGAAGGAAGAAGGAAAAGGGAAGAGAAGAAAAAGGAAAAGGAGGAAGAAAAAAGTAAAGAAGAAAAAGGAAAGAAATAGAAAGAAAAAGGAAATAGAAAAAAAGGGTGAAAGGAAAGTGAAAAAGAACGAGAGAGGGAAGGAAGGAAGGAAGAAAAGGAAAGAAAAAGGATACAAGGGGAAAAAAGAACAGGAATAGCATAGAAAAATAGAATAGGAAAAATATAGAGTAGAATAGAGCTGGAAGGGAGAAGATCTCCAAGGAAAGAAAGAAAGAAAGAAAGAAAGAAAGAAAGAAAGAAAGAAAGAAAGAAAGAAAGAAAGAAAGAAAGAAAGAAAGAAAACAGGCAAAGGCCTGGAGTTGGGGGGGTCTCCAAACTTTCCAGGAACCGGGGGGGCGTCTTTCAATGCAATGATTTCTAGGGTTCAGGGGGGGGAGGGGAAACTGCCTGCTGGGGAATTCTGGGAGTTGAAGTCCGGCCTCTTAAAGGAGCCGAGGCCGAGAAACGGGGCTCCAAATCCAAGCCAGAAGCGGGTTTGGCGGAGAAAGAAGCGGGGGAAACTCCGGGGCGCTGCAAGGGAATCCCCCACCCGGCGCCCCCCTCCCCGCC